GCCTTAGAACATGGGGCTCGGACACACAGTAAATAATTCAATAAATAGCAGCTCACACCAGAATAGCCGGTGCAGTCATTTGTGTAATTTCGCCCACGGAATGATTACCTGTCGAAGATTTTCACTGCTTTTCACTTTGGTCTGTGCAAAAATGGTTGAAATGTTCAAAAATAGTTATAAATTTCACGCATCGGCACGCGAAAGCGGAATTTGAAACCTGGAAAGGCGAATATCCTTCCAAAATTTCAATCTCCTAATTTTCTGGTTTTTGAATGATCTTTGAGACACATTTTCACCTGGTCGTACTTGAGACCTCGGCATACTTAGGAATTAAATTCGAGTTAGTTAAGCCCCTGCTTAGGCAGGAAACATTCCCTAAAATTTTTGGCTGCCTAGCTCTCCTGGCTCCTAAGGTAATGATTTTTCACCAAAACTTCTACGGGGACGTTAAAAATTTGTGGAGCTTTGTGTGGGCAGGGAATGTCATACTAAAATTTCAGCTTTCTAGCTTTTTTAGTTCAAAATTTCAATAATTTCCTTATTGAAACTTTCACGGGGCCATACGTAGTACACAGAGGTGCGTGAAGGCTGGGGGCCGTACGTTGATAGAGTTCATCGTCCTAAAATTTCAGATTTCTAACTTTCGTGGTTCCCGAGATAATAATTTTCTCCGTCGAAACTTTCACGGAGCCGTATGTAATACCTGGGTGTGCAGAAACGCCAAATTTGAATCTGTAAGATCGCACGTGGGTAGAGAGCATTACCACAAAACCTCGGCCTCCTAGATTTCATGGTTTCCAATATAATCATTTATCCGCCAAAACCTTTCACGGGGAAGTACGTGTTACCCACGGGCAGGGGAGGCCTGAATTTAAATTTTCTGGGTCTCACGTTGGCAGGAGACATGCTTACAAAATTTCAGCCCTCCAGGTTCCGCAGTTCGTGTGATAATAATTTTACTCGCCAAAACTTCTGCGGGGCCATACGTGTTACTCGCGGGTACGGGGAGGCTGAATTTAAATTTGGAGGTCACACGTGGGTGGGGAACATTCTCCTAAATTTCTAGCTTCCTAGCTTTTGTGGTTCCCGAGTTGAAAGTTGCGGACACAAACACACACATACACATGAACACACACACACAGATTCGTGACAATATGCATTTTGTGCTGCTGCTACACAATACAAAACGCATAAAAATCAAAGTAGACTCGAAATGAAAATTTCGAAATGCCGTTCCTTCGAATAATTCTTGGTAAATGGCCTGAAACCAGCTCTTCTTACATATTTCATGTGCTTTGAGTAACGGCCTCAAATTTCAAATTTGAGCTAATTTTAAAACTGAACGGCACAGAAAGCCTGCTGGCTGCAAATTTCGTGGATTTATTCAAGATGGCGTAGTTTAGAGTCAGAACCCAGAGACAGCAGATTTGCTCTCTTAGGCCCAAATTTAGGAGAATTTTTTATTCCTTGTTTTTTATACAGTTTTACTCATTTCTTTAGTAAACTAAAAATCTAAAATTTTTGAGCTTCTGTTCACGTAGAGCAAAAAATTATGTTGACATCACTTTTCAAATGTCGTTTGACCCGTGATCGCACGTGTCGACACGTCATAGCCTCAGAATGGAGTAACATTTGTGTTTTTTTATCCGTTGAATAGACTGAGTAGTAGTAATAGTTTA